ACACACACACAACAGCACGTATGAACACACACACACACACACACAACAGCACGTATGAACACACACACACACACACACAACAGCATGTATGAACACACACACACACACAACAGCACGTATGAACACACACACACACAACAGCACGTATGAACACACACACACACACACACACACACACAACAACACGTATGAACACACACACACACACACTCATACAACAGTGTGTTCTCGTCTGGTTTGTAATTAAACACATTATAGCAGTTGCAGCATTAAATTACTTGGCTCGTGATGATGGAATGATGAACAATTTTCGTGTGTGTGTGTGTGTGTGTGTGTGTGTGTGTGTGTGCCCGTTTACACTTCCGCTCAAAAGTTTGGAATAATTATGATTTTTGAAATGTTTTGAGTGTCTTCTGCTCAGCGAGAGTTGTTAGTATGTTTTGCTGTGTGTGTGTTTGATGTGTGTGTGTTTGGTGTGTGTTGTTGATGTGTGTGTCTCCTCCCCAGAATGAAGCGCGCCGCTTCCCTGAACGTCCTGAACAAGCGAGTGACGAGGCCTACCAGGTGATGATGTCACCCACACTGATGATGATGTCACTCATAGTATTAGAAATATGTTGTCTTTGTGTATATAATAGAGATGATGTTGATGTCAGACGACGGTTAATGTTTCATCTCTCTCTGTGTGTGTGTGTGTGTGTGTGTGTGTGTGTGTGTGATCAGACTCTGGGTGGCAGACGACTGAGAGACAGCCGCGGTTTGAGCTCCAGTGATGTGGATCTGTACAACAGCAGCTAAACCTGCGTGCTCGACCAAACACTGCGCTACACACACACACACACACACACACACACACACACACACACACACACACTCTCTCTCTTTCTCATGTAAAGCCATAAACCCTTCTGCTGGAGGGAACTGATGCTGCTTCGGTTCGTGACCCGTACTGATCCAGGAACTGCTCAACACTACAGTTACAGTAGAGTTACAGTAGAGTTACACTACAGTTACACTAGAGTTACAGTAGAGTTACAGTAGAGTTACACTACAGTTACAGTAGAGTTACAGTAGAGTTACACTACAGTTACAGTAGAGTTACAGTAGAGTTACACTACAGTTACAGTAGAGTTACAGTAGAGTTACAGTAGAGTTACAGTAGAGTTGTGTTGTTTACACGGAGGGTCACGATCTGCTGACAGGAGCAGAGACCCGGACTGCCTTTAACGGGTTCATGGGGATCTCCAAACTTATTAAGAAAACTGAATGTAAGAGAATTAGCAGTGATGAAATAATGAAGATCATATAATAATCAGCTCTGCTTCAGTCTGTGCGGGGGATGTTTAAATGCCGTCTGTTCTCAGGGGACACACACACTCACACACACACGTGACGCTGCGTCTCAGAAAGGTCAATATATGATGAATAATCAGTTGATATGTGTATAATGTGCAGCAGAGATGTGAGGTTATAAAAGCTAATTATCTGTGTGGAACGAGACTGCACACAACAGTGATGATGTCATCGTGAACCATGCTCTGCTGTTTATATTTCCAGATGCTTTACGCGGCGCATCATTTCCTCCAGGTCATAACTCCTCACTGTAAGCACAGTTGGTGTCAGGGTTTTCTATATTTCAGGAAGTGGGTTATTGCATGAATATTATATATATATATATGTATTTAAACTGGTTCAGGTTGCTGTACTAATGTTGTCAGTCAAGTGCCTGAAGAGTCCAGATCACACTGCAGGACCTCATGCTGACTTACGAATGTTTATGGGTTACAATATTATGGATGATCCTTTCAGTTTGTAAATGTATTTTATAAAGAGCAACTGAAAAACACTGAGGATCCTGCTGATTTTATATTGGTGTTTTACTGCTAAACAAATCTCAGGCGAGGAAGAGGATTCTGGGAGAGAATGCCATTGTTACTTTGATGATCATCTGATGATAATGATGATGATGATGATGATATAGTGATATATGTATCTCTGTGCCAACCACTTTTTTTGTTGTTGAAAATGTCGACCAAAGCTGCCGTCCGCTTGAGGATGAGAAATTATGTTCTTTGAGATTATATTTCTGATATTTGTGTCTGATCTGAGATCTGGTCCTTGAGGAGGTTTATCTGTAATCGTAGTTTCTGTAATGCCCAAATGGGTCACGGAAATAATGTTCTCAAGACAATAATAAAATGTGCCAATTTTTACACCCAGTCTAAGATTATTTTATTTCCTTTTAAACATTTCTGATTGTAAAATTGCAGCTAGAAGGTCATTTCTATAATGCAGATTTTTTTTGTGTCATTAATTTTGTAAATCAAAACAATATTAGACAAATCTGCAGCTTAATTAGCCGAAAACCGTCGGCGCCGGCCGTTCTCTGAAATGGCGCCACGAGCTCGGGAGAAAACCGCAAATATATCGGGGAAAAATCAAAAATCAACGACGCCAAATTTTTATCGAGTGGAGAACGGGACGAGATCTTTCGAAAGAGACCGCCGGCCTCGTGGGCCCCCGGGGGCCCGAGATACAGGCCCCCAAAGCCCCTACTGAAGGGAAAAACGCAAATATCTCGGCGAAAACTAAACTGGGCTCATTCGAACCGTCTCGCAGAACTGAACAAAATCATATGCGTTTCGTCATTTTTGGTGGACTATTCGCGGAGATATTAGCCGAAACCCGTCGGTCGCGCTATCGCCACGAGCTCGGGAGAAAATCGCAAATATCGCGGGGGAAAATCAACGTTTCGACGCCGAATTTTTAACGAGTGGAGAATGGACCGAGACCTTTAGAACGAGACCACCCCCTGCCTCGTGGGCCCGCTACAGGCCAAGAAAAAGAAGAAAGAAAAGGACAAGAAAATTAAGCCCCTCCGCCACACACACACAAAAAAAATATTTTGCACTAGTTATTCTTATTTTTAAGTGGAATGCAGTGCGCGCGCCCGTTTCCCGCCTAAACAGGTCCTTTGCGCTACAAAAAAAAAAAAAAAAAAAGCGCGCGCTGCCGCCATCATTCAAAAAATGGATTGGGGGATGTACAAAATATAGCCTATATATCTCGCATCACAATAAATGTATTGTGGTTGGATAAACATTTAGTAACTAAACAGATTTTTAATTGGTTTAGTGACCAAAATGTTCCAATGTTTAGGCTGTGCTGCAATCGGTAAGCTTTTTTTTAATTATTGCTTGACACATTTCACGATTTCAATTCAAGTGTTGTGATTTGAGACTCGTTTGGATAAATATTAGGAACACAAGATGGGCGTTAATTATACTAGCACAACTTACCGAAATATATATACCCCACATATCAATCAATCAATCAATCAATCAGTGTAAAGAGGTCAAAAACAGCAGGAGAATTATAACATTTACCTCAGGAAAGCCATTTAATGCCCATAATATAACACCAGTTGGCTAGAAAAGACTATGAGTTCACGAGGCGATCTCACGTCACATTTACAAGCGCCAAACCGGCATTTATTGTTTGAAATTCGTTATAGAATTGACAGAATCTGTGATCTAAGATTTATTATAATATAATAACTGTCTCTGTTCTGTCTGTTGGTGTCTGTGTCCTCGCTTCGCGATTTTTTTCCTGGTGTGTGTGTGTGTGTCGCGTGAGAGTTGACGCTCCTGGAAACGATCGTTGGTCTCAGTTTGACCGCTCTTATTTCGTTTCATATATTCTCAAGATGAGGTGAATTATCAGCTATAAAGGACACGAAAAATGATATTCAAACTCCTACAGTATATTATTTTATAAGTTAATAACGCATAAAACAGTCCCTTAAAAATTATCATAGTTTTAATGTTTTTTCCAGCCGTTTCTGGTTCGGACAAAAACTTTAAATTATATATTTTATTGCCTGCGCGTTCAGGTGAACTTGGGTTATGTTTACGAGCTTTTACAGATATGTTTTTGGACACCATCAAGCTTACATTCAAACAGTTGTTTTGTTAAGAGAAAGAGATACATCTTAATCAGTTCAGTGTGTGGTTGTTTCCCGGTGCTGCCAGCGGGATGCAGCATTGGACCCGTTACCGCACACGAGCGAGAGAGCAGAAACCGGAAGCTGGAGAGAGCGAGAGAGAGAGAGAGAGAGAGAGAGAGCGAGCGAGAGAGAGAGAGAGAACCCGGGACCGAGGAAAGTGACCCGCAGTTTCTCACGGACTACAGGCGGACACCGGGACTCGCACCGAGACTCCCCCGGAATACCGCGATCCTTCCCCGGACTCCTCTAGTCGAGCTCATAGCGCGCGTCAGTTTCAGCTCAGTTTGAGGGGAAGGAGAATAACCGTCATTTCTGCGCACTTTGTGAACGCGTCTGACCTGCGCAGCGGCACCTGCGCGTCCCGGAAACATGGACGGATCACCGGGGACCGACAGCGAGAGCAGCTCCAGAACAACAACACGCCGGACACGGAGACCCGACGGGAGTCTGCGAGCCTTCTTCATCATGTGTTTCAAAGGTAACATCGCTTCACCTGGACACACACACACACACACACACACAGCATCAAGCTTTACTGAACTGAGTCTGGAGTGTATGGAAGCCCAAATCATGCTTTGGTGGTAAATAATTCAAAACCAAAATCATCTTAATATGACTTGGTATGTCATCATGACTTGGTATATCATAATAATAAGATGATATCATGTTAAAATGTAAAAACAAATAGGTTACACTTTATTTTAAGTTGTCATTGTTACAGTGTAATTACACAAACAACTGCCGAGTAATATTTATCTACATGTACTCTAGTTAGTTCGGGTTAAGGGTTTAGGGTTAGTTACTTGTAATTATGCATAATTTCCTGTTATTACTACATGTGTAACGTGTAACTACGTCACCTTAAAATTGTTACTAAAAAATTAAGCTATTAAATTATTCGAAATTACGAGATTAAAAAGTGAAATTATGACCTTCTGTCTGTATAATTTTGACTTTTAATGTGAATTTCAACTTTATAACAAGTATGTTTTAAATGTAATCTTTTTAATAAATGGTTCATAAATGACAGTTTATGTGTAATTTAGATTTTTTTTTTTTTATGATTTACAAAAGCATGATTCTTTTCTTATGTGGGTCCTGTAATAATGCATTTAAGTGTGTTTTCAGAAAAAGTTGAGCTGTGATGTTGATATCTGAATTCATCATTTATAGCTTTATCATTAATTGGTTTATGACCACAGATGATCAGTGTTTGTGGAAATGAGCATATCATCACATCATATCATAGCATAACTTAACATAAGATGACATTAACATCTCATCATAACATCATATCACAACATAACATCATAACATCACATCATAAGATCATAACATCATATCACCCCATCTAAAGGAGAAGTAAAGCGAGACACATTCATCTTTTTCATAAGATCGGTGTTTGTTTGTGTGCCATCACAACATCTTAGGTTTATATTCGTTATTGCTTTCAACGGGAACGGCCCTCCTTTAAAAGCATGAGTGTTTATTAAGGTGTGTGTGTGTGTGTGTGTGTGTGTGTGTGTTTGGTGCATGATCAGATTCCTCTTTCTCTGAGTTTTGAGTTGCTCTAGTTTTATATTTCAGAGGTTTTCACACTGTGTTTGCTCTCTGGAGAAGATTAGAGGGGGAAAAAATTAAATAGATTTAACTAAATAACAGTACAGAAATATAGTGAATGGAAATAAATAATGTAATAGAAATGAAGAGTTTTACCAGGCCTGCCCACTAACGCTAGTCAGAGAGAAGAGTCAGTCCAACACATTCGAATTAGTTGGTTAATTATTACACTCAAAAGAATGTTATGTTGGCTTTACTTGTTTTTTTATTCAAGAGGTTCCACATAACTGGATTACGTTAAACAAACATAATTTGTTCATATAACTTCAACATCTTGAAATTAAGTAATTTTAAGTGACCCAATTTAAGTAGTCTCAACGTTTTTTTTAAATGCTTCCAGGCTGGAATGATTCAGGTATTATTTTATATTCATTCATCCATTTATATTTCATTTATTTCAGTGATACATAATTAAATTAGACCATAATTAGCTATTTGGTTGCAGTAGCACATATTAGCATCTTAAATGCTAAGATTTACATGCTCCTTCAATCAATGCAATACAAAATAATTAAATCAGTCGACAGACAAACAAAATGCTCCACTCTTCTCCACAATGAGTAATTCTCCACTGTAATTTCATTTTAAAAGCACCGCCCAGTTTCAGTTCATGCAACACAAATCAGTCATGTGATCCAACACAAATGGATAAAGGAAACTTCAATTGTACATACAGTATATTTAAGCAGATTGAACACAATCACATTAAGTTCAGGCAAAATGGATGTAAGAATTTTTTACTTAACATAAATGGGTTGTTGTGTTTAGACAACGTGTTAGGATTTTGTACTGTTAAATTAAGACATAATTACATAGACCTTAATAGGAAAAAACATTTCAAGCCAAAAAACACAACTATTGTAGGTAAACTAAATATAAATATATTATGTAAAGTGCACAACCTTCCTAGTTAATTTTTTTGAGTGTAGTTATTGGTTAGTTGTGTGCTGTTGTTAGACACATGACCCAGTGTTTGTACAGTGAAAATGATTGTTGGTCACACAGATAAGAGTGATGCCTCATAAAGGGTCTGTGTCGTAAAATAAAGAAACCCAACTGGACGAGCGTCTCGTCTCCGTGACCGGCTCTGATGAAGCGCACAGAAATGAACCGAAGCTCATACTTTAGTCTATGCTTTTCTGAAAGCCATATTCCTTATGTGTATCAAAGCTTGAAATGTCTGCTTTTAAATGAATCAATTCAGATGTGAAAAAACTCTCTGGATAGAGTCCACTCTTCATCTTCATCTTCGCAGCCGACGCTGACTCAGAAAACACTCATTTACCAATCAATTATTCAAATGTCCTGTAAGTCATTATAATCATTACTTTTCCTGTCTTAAGTCTTATGCTTGAGTGCGTATTCATATTTTAAAGGCTCTATATTCTGACTCTCTGTAATGTAGAGCACTGTATATTACATATTTAATGAATATATTACATATACCCCTCCCCCAGTCTATATTTAGTGAAATTAGTATCATAAATGTGCAATTTGTCAACTATTTGCTTAAACGGATGATAACCAGTCGACTAGAAAAATCTTTAGTCCTAAATTTGACACATAATATTGTTTTTCACTGTACCAATAGTGTCTTTACACATGAAATATATCCCTGACTTGATTTTTATGATGGTTTTGACCTGTTTTATTGACTAAACTCTGTCGTGTGTTAATAAACTGTTAATCTCAGCGCTCAGGCGTTCACATGAACGGATCTGATATTTCCCAGATGGCCTAGCGCCGGTTCTCCTGTTATCTGTGTAATATGTGCAGTCCGACTGCAGCGTCTCTCGGGCTCCAGATCTGCTTTACTCTAATACGCCTCTACTTACAGGAGAAAAGGAGCCTGACGCATTTATCATTTACATAAGCGTGTGTGTGTGTGTGAGAGAGATCTTCACCAGGAGCTGAGATATTAAACGTCTCATACAGTATTTGTTTATTGCATTTTGTTTTTTTTTTACAGTCACAATCAAATTGTGTGATCGTGATATTTCTCCTGCCACGAGCGCTTCTCTGGTGCCGTATGCCGGATTAGAGTTAAAGGGTAACTCAACCGGTGCAGACATGAATGTGTATTGAAAGTGGGTCATATATGTAGTACAATAGTGTCATAAATTTCTAGTTTGGGTCCTTCTTGGCCGATAAAAGGCAGAAAATGACTTTTTAGTGCTTGTGGATTGTAGACAACAATCCCCACGGTGCATTGCAGTGCTCAGCTCCGCAGGCCCCTCCCACTGCTCCGCCCATCACTGTAGACTAGCTAGTTGAGCTCCACTCTGGAAATGGTTTCGCACAATGAAATCAGATAATGCGCGCTAATATAATATGACGAAGTAAGAGCGTCAAGGCGTTCATCAGCCAATGGTGTGATTCGATACGGCTTCAGACGATCGCCACTCTCACTCTGACGCGTAATTTTACACGTGAAGTGCAGCGTTTTGTCTTGGGGATCTTCATTAATCTCCTCGCTATCAGACGATCCGGGAGTCTCCCGCAGATTGGTAACGGCTCCCTGATCCCGCAAACGAGTTCAAATCTCCCGAATCTAGAGCGAGCGAGCGAGAGCGCGATAGAGAGCAAAGAAAGCGGGAGAAAACGGCGTTTTAAACCTTATTTTGGGGCAAAGTCATCAAACTATTTGAGCAATTTTTATTATATTTTACTGCTGTGTCAATACATGCAGTGTTTATGTCCCAGTGAAGTGCAGTTCTGACTCTCTAGATAGAAACAGCGGCCCGCAGGCGTTGCCAAGATGGCGGCCGAGTGGCACGACTCGCCTAAAAGGACTTTGGCAGCAAACATGATTAGCCTTCATCATTGTAGGAGGAAGTGAAGAAGGTAAATAGCGGATTCCTCTCGTCTCTGGGGAAAAGGAGAGAGTCTGGACCGACCGTTCAATAGTGCGACTGGATTTCTAATAAATGTGTGGAGTGTCCCTTTAACAACAGTCACTTCTACACATTTAAACACTTACATCATTTAATAACCTTTAAGGATTGAAATGTTTTGTCTTATTAAAATCTACATTTTTTACAAACCGTTTCACATGTCCTTGAATTGCTTTGGGGAAACTCCAGTCCTCACGCCGGTATCCTGAACTGATTTAAATATAAATATAAACACTAGTCCACGGATTGTGTTGTCAGAGGTCATGTGACCTCATGAGACCATCCCTCCCTCCCCCGCTTCTGTCACCATCCGTGTGTGTGTGTGTGTTTGATGTAACCCATATTTCATATCCGCGCTACGGCTGCCCCCCCACACACTCTTCTCACGCAACGGCTCAATCCCAACACACACACACACACACACACACACACTCCTGTTTGCTCACACAACACAGATTAGAGTTGTAGATCTCTACACTTCAGGGCAGATTTACACGACCTGTGACCCCGACACGGATGATCCGCTTTCAGTAGCGACGCTCCGCCAATAAACGTGATTATTTTCACGATGGACCGACGCTGGTGTTCTCTGGGAGTTCGTCTCGACAGATGGAGATCTCACACACACTCTCCTGTTCAACTCGAGCAGATCTACATCTGTACTGTTCCTTTATTCCCAGCTCCGCCATCGCTCTCGTGTTCGCGTGCTGACATCAGTCGGCCAGGAGAGAGTGGTGTGTGTGTGTGTGTGTGTAAGCAGACAGTACAGTTTGTATAGTATTAAAACCATTGTGTCTATGGAGCGCCCCCACAAAGATAGCGAACCAGACTGAGTGTGTGTGTGTGTGTGTGTGTGTGTGTGTGTGTGTGTGTGTGACTCAATGGCATTTAAAGGAATGTTTGGGGCACTAAGGAGGATGTCAGTGATCAGGAAACACACTGTTTTGAGAGCGGCGGTGCAGAT